TCTGCTTATTGGAATGCTTCAGGCAGGTTCTCCTAAGACAGGGACTTGAGACAGTAGGAGGTTTTGGATTTCAGAACAGAAGTAGCTGTAGGATTCTTGGGCAAAATACAGGAAGTGATTAAAGCTTTTTTAAGATGTATGACTTTTATAATGAGAAAATAATATGATAGAGTTAAACAAATATACTTTTGTATTGCTATATTAAATCTTGTCTTGAAAGAATTACCTATAAGATAAATGAAAATAAGTCTTATTTACATAGAAGATAATATACTTACAGAAACGGCTTCCTCAAAGATATAATGGAATGGAGAATGTTATTATATGCAGTAAAGCAAGATTATATGGTGTTTCCTAAGGAATGACATATAAATCAATGAAACAGACAAGGGAAACAAAAAATAGAACATATGGTTAATTGATATTTGATAATGGTATAGTAGGGAAAAGACAGTCATTTCAACCAATGGTTCAAGTATTAGGTAAAAAATTAATTAAACCCTTATCTTAAACTATGTACAAAAATTAACTCAAAATGCATCATATTCTTAAACCTAAGAGCTAAAACTATAAAAATTCTACAATAAAACAAAGGAGAAAATCTTTGTGATCTTGGTTTAGAAAAGATTTCTGGATGAAACACAAAAGCAGGAACTATAATAGAAAAGTCTGATAAACTGAATTTTATTTAAATAAAAAGCTCCAATTCTTTAAAAGATATTAAGAAAAAGAAAATGCAAACTACAGACCAGGAGAAAATATTTGCAAAATATGTCTGATAAATGATTTTTATTCACAATATATTAAGAATAACTCTTGCAACTCAGTAATAAGAACACAACAACCCCCCCTTTTTGTTAATGGACAAAAGATTTGAACAAACAGTTCACCAAAGAAAATATACAAATGGCCAAAAAGCACATGAAATGATGGGTGATGTCATTAATCATTAAGGAAAACCAAATTAAAAAATGAGTTATGTACTAGAATAACTAAAATTTCCAAACTAAACACATGATGATATCATGTGTTGACAAAGATGTGAAGCAACTCTCAAATTGTTGGTGGGAATGCAAATGGCCCAACTATTTTGGAAAACAATTTGGCAGTCTCTGATAAAGTTAAACATTCTTATTCTAATGACACACTTTTACTCAGTTATATTGCTAGGTATTTACCCAAGAGATGAAAATGTAGTCCATATAAAAACTGTATTAAAATATTTATAGAAGCTTTATTCATTACAGCCAATAATTGAAAACAACATAAATGCCCAGCAGCTAGTGAATAGATGAACAAATTATGGCATATCAGTGAAATTGGATACTACTCAGTAAAAAAAGGATTCTACATATAACAACTTGAATGGATTTCAGAAATACTGTGTATGTGAAAGTGGATGTCAGGGGCTGGAGTTGGAGGGAGGGGATTGACTATAAAAGGGGCACAGGCTAATTTTTTGGGGGGTGATGGAAATTATTTATATTTTGTGGTGATGGTTACATGATTATTTACATTTATCAAAAATCATCGAACTGTCCCCCAGCCAGTGTGTCTTTCCATGCAGCAGGAAGTCACAGGTTCTATTCCCGGTCAGGGCACATGCCCAGGTTGCAGGTTCAGTCCCTGGTCAGGGTTCATATGCGAGATTTTTCTCTCTCGCTCCCTCTTCCTTTCTCTCTAAAATCAACAAAAACATATTTTTTAAAAAGCTGTATATATTCCCGTTTTGCTTATTTATACTGTTAGAGTATATGCTTACAAAACTGATATTAGCAGTTGCCTCTAGCATAGGAAAGGCTTAACCTTTTAATGTATATCTATTTGTTTTGCTTGACTGTTTTTTGTGTTGTTTTTTTTTACCAGGTGCATATATTTCCTTCTCAATTAAAGGAAAAAGTTTTAATTTGCACATGTTAAATATATTATTAGGAAATGTAGGAGTACATAGGTGACTTTCCTCATATTTCTTCCACATGGTCCCTCATGTTTTTGTCAGCAACACAACAGTAGACTACATGGGTCTTGAGACTGACCTGGTGTGACAGTTCTAGGACCACCTCTTTCAGTGTGTGTCTCCTGTTTTTCCAAGTCATGTGGGAGTAAGTAAAGGAAGAAGTCCAATCCACTTGATTTGCTTTACCCACATGATGCGTTTTTGTTCATTGCACTGCTCCTCTGGCTTACGGCAGTTTTACTAAGCACTGTAATCGTCAAGAGACATGGTGGGGAGACAAGTACTGAGTTCTGAAGAAAGTTTTGCATCTTATCTTTGCCTCTTGTTCAGAGGCTACCCGGAAGCTTCTGTGAGTGAGTGGAGCATTGGTAGGGAGGTGTGGAAATCGGTGGCACTTTCTGAAAATGAGCTAGCTTGGGAGGCTGTCTTCAATTTAGTTGGGATATTAACTGAATTAAAATGGACGTGCTCAAGTTATGAGCCTTGCCTCATCAGTGCTATAAAAAGCCCTTTAGCCGGCTGTAATGTGACTCTTCTCTCTGTAATGTTACGCAATATTCCTTTGGTTACAGAGCCCGAAGAAGTGGAAGCTAATCATTAGTTTGCTAAATGTGGTTCATGGAACAGTTCACAGCTCCCAGACCTGCCAACTGCTGCTTGTTTAGTGTCATGTTCACTCTTCTAGGGTAGAAGTCGATTTGTTCCTCAGAAAAATGTACAGTAACATTTGTCTCACGTCCAGAACCCACGCAGTGTGGCAGCTCTCCATGTGTCTTGGTCACGGGGAGGGGAAAAGGTCATGCTAAGCAAAGTGTTTTGGTACATACACTTACGCAGGAAGAAACCATGAAGGGAATGTGAGATGACAGAGCAAGGAAAGAATGAAAGCTGCAGAGGTTTTAGATACTTAGAGAAAAGTGAACACGTTCACTTTTCAGAAATTGGCTGTGGTAGAACTCTATAGAGTTTCCCATTGTGTAGGGCCTAGAGATGAAATCATGCTCTGTTGCATGTGACAGATAGACTTCATTATTGCCCAGTCACCTACAAGCACATAGACGTGCTGCCTTTGGAGCCATACGGATGGATTTGTGCCTTCACCTGAGGATTAGCCTAAATCCCGAAGCCACTCCTGACTGTTTGGCTTCCTCCTACTAGGATGAAAGTGGGTTCTTTCCTGGTGCCCACTTATGACTCATTCCCTTTTCCAGCTGGAAGGCTCTTTGGCCCCTTCTTCTTAGAGACTATCCAGAAAGAGACAGTCCAGTGGCGGTCTCTATTTGCCTGCTGTGTCATTTAGATCTCTTTGGATTATAAAACAAAACAAAAACAGAACACCTGACCTCAACTGGCGTCAGAAAACAAGGCATTTATTGGCTCCAACGATTAAAAAGCATGGCGAGATACAAGGGCTCAAACCCTGTCATCAGACCCACTTTTTCTGCTTCTCTCATCTCTGGTTTTGTCATTTATACTCACGCCCAGGCTCCATGTGTTGGTATTTAGGGCAATTAAAAATTCTTCCAGGTGCAAGCCCAGCAGGAAATAGCAGATATCCTTTCCGCTAGCTCCTAAAAAAACCGTGACATTCACTCTTCATTCAACTGACTTGGATCTTGGGCCATCCCTGAACCAGTCCCGGGTCCATAGAGATGCTGCACTTTGATTGGTCTGTCCTGAATCTCATTCCCCACCCCGGGAAGGGTAGAGCCTCACCTGAGCAGGTGGAGTAGTTGTGAGAAAAGGGTAGCATTCCAACTGAAAAAGAGGTGCTGTGCAGAAAGGAAAAGGAATGGGAGCTGGAGGCAGATCTCTAGTCGAGGCTTTCGTGGGAGGACGCTGGATCCTCCCTACAATGCGCTGAAAGTCTCCACTTCCAACTACCTGGGCAGTGGGAAGATGGGGTTTCCTGGTTTGTGAAGCAGGTCATATTCCCCAACCTCTGCCTCATCTTCTCACCTACCTGTATGCAGCTCAGGAAGACTACAATAAATTTTTTTTCATTTTTATTATTTATTTAATCAGAGAGGAAAGGAGAGGGAGAGAGAGATAGAAACATCAATGATGAGAGAATCATTGATCGGCTGCCTCCTGCACACCCCCCACTGGGGATCAAGCCTGCAACCTGGGCATGTACCCTTGACCGGAATCGAACCTGGGACCTTTCAGTCCGCAGGCCAATGCTCTATCCACTGAGCAAAACTGGCTAGGGCAAGAATTATCTTTTTAAAAATAGTACACACTTTTTTAAAATACACCCATTTCTTTAAAAGTCCATGCAAGGAGGAACAAAAGACATGATCAGGAGCCGATACAGTTATGGTGGCTCTCATTGCATTTCTTGGCTTAAGGCAATTTTTAAAAATATATAAAAGTAATGGAATCAAGTCATAGTTTAGAAAAAAATAAAAATAATTCTACCACTCTGGGCAAACCACTATTTTAATTTTAGAGTATTTCCATTCAGCTTTTGTTCATGTGAACTTCTCACAAACTTTTAAATCATGATATTTTTGCTAAATATTTTTTTATTACCTCGTAATCCAATCATTTTTCATATTTCTCAGGAGCCATCATTATCATGCAAAAGCAACATAATATTCCATTAAGTAGATCTACCATATTTGACTTAATCATTTTTCTATTGTTGGACATTTAAGTGTGTTAAACATTTTGAGGGTATTCTGTAACTTTTCTCATGCCTTATCTTATTTCCTAAGAATAGATTGTGTGAAGTGGGATTACCAGTTCAAGCGATATGAACATTTTTATAATTTTTGGTAACTGTTGCCAAATTGATTTTCAAATGCTGCATTTATTTCTACTGCCTCCAGCAGGTTATGAGAGGATCTGTTTCACTGCATTCTTGCTGCAATAGACATTTGGATTTTTAAACATTTTCCTAACTTAATTGGCAAAAAAAGTAGGTGTTATTTTAACTTGGATCTCTTTGGTTAGTAGTGAGGCTGAATGTTTTTATATGTGCCTGTTTCTTAGCCGTATTTTCTGCTCCACTTCTCAAATTGTCTTTTCTTCGTTTTAGACCCCAAAACAGCTTCTGAAACCGAAACGGATATCTGTGCGGAATGGGAGATCAAGACCATCACTAGTGCTTTGAAGACCTACCTGAGGTAGGGACTTTCCATTTGCAGGGCAGGGTGCCAGCTTGTTATCAGGCCATCAGGAAGAAAGCAGTTTTATTTTCAGCCTCCAGAGAACTGTTGGGTGGATGTTTGAGATGTGGAAACAGTTTAGGTGTGGGTGCAGTCAGCTCAGCTGGTCACTCCAATTGTAAATCATCCATAGTTGATGGGTTGCCATTGTGCAGTGGTGATTTTAGGAAGCCTTGTTTTTTATGGGAAGCTATGATGACAATTAGCCTTTAACAGAACCTAAAATATGGTATTTCCTGAAATCCCTGAAGTCTCTATTAAAAACAGAAGGAGTCCCATCCCATTCTGTTGCGAATGCATGATTACATGCCCTCTGTATTTTGATAGATTTGTGCATTGCACATTGAATAAGTTGCTGACATCGATCCTTAAAAATTAGAACTTAGCAGTACTCCTTTTTGACTCCTTCAGCGGGGATTGGAAGATATCACTTTATTGGGGAAGAGACTGTTTTCCTGTAATAATATATGTGGTATTACTGCTACCTTCCTACTCCTCCCTCACTTATTAAGGAAGTGGGTGATTGACTACTAGCTATCTGCATCTCAATTTCAGGACTAGATTGAAATTTATGCTGCTCTTGAAGGGTAGGCATATTATAGTTATTAACTGTAGTTCTTACCTAGGAAGGTGGGAGCGGGGGGGAGGGTGTCTAGGTTTTATAAAGGTGCCCTTATCTCAAAAGCAAAGGAGGAAAGGACCTGGTATTTTTGGCTATTGAAGAATGGATAGAAGAATCTTGATGTCAAGAATAAAATATAATGTAAGTGATGACTAAGAGTTGAATTAGGAGATGCAATAAGAATAAAATAAAATCTGAGCCAGGTATAATGTATAGTCTGGTGAGAAGCTTATTATTTGGACTATTAGAAAAAACCTCAAGTTTACAGTTTAACATATTCATTAAATATTCATACCCTCAATACTGCCATTGTAGTTTATACAAAACCGTGTTGTAGAGGTTTGCATTTAGCACTTCTTTTTGCATGTTGATAGTGATTTACTAATGGACAGTAAGCATAAAATATATTTTCAAAAAATAGCAGGTAAAATTTGATTGTTTCATGCCTCATATTAGGGGTTCTAGCTCTTTGGCATTCTCCAGCAGAACTCCACAGTGAATTTGCCACAAAAATACCTACAAAGTCCCTCATAGTATTTACAGATGAGCTGATTGTAATAACAAGGTGCTGGGGAGATGAGAGTTTAAGTACAGGTTTTTGCAAATGTTTAGCCAGTTGCCTGTTTCTCCGGCGTGTTTTAAGATGCTCTTGTTGATGGGTGAGTCACTGAAAAGGAAATCTCTTGGTTTGTGCTAGGCTTTTGCACCAGTTCTTTTCTAGTTGTGACTATAAGACAGTTGTATGCTTTCCCTAAAAAGGAGAGAGAATGAAAATTTCAGGTAACATCTCAGGACCTTTTAGAAGGGAAACTAAATTGGACTCAGATGAGTTGCTGTTGCTTCCCCATGATCTTTATCTTTGAGAACAGTTTGGCAATGTTCTGGCTGCTATGTAGAGAGAAAAATTTGATTGTTTTGATTGAGCTAACTAATATATAACCTTTTATTCCAGAATGCTTCCAGGACCACTCATGATGTACCAGTTTCAAAGAAGTTTCATCAAAGCAGCAAGTACGTTTTCTTTTTGTCAGTTTTAAGGGGAAGGGAATATATTTTTCTACTTCAAAAACAGTCAGTATCCCAAAATAAATATTATCTAACTCTTTGTTGTCTGCATGTAAACTACCCACATACACGCTCATGAGTTCGACACAGAAATAAAAACGAAACCAAATCAGAATTGCTAAGGGCCTTGCTGCTACGCTGAATTTACCATAGAGGAGAGAAACTTCCAAAGTGTGTTTTTAGGGTTGGGGAGAGTTGAGAAAAGCAGGTTTGCCTTTCTAATTTTGATGATTGGAGTTCTGACTCCTTGGGTTTTTCCCAGCCCTTGAGTAGCATTTTGCAGAATGAATCATACTTCGCACCTTACCTACATTGAGCATTGGAAGTGTTTCCCTGAATGAGAGACACCATTGATATAACTCACCAATCTGCTTTCTGCCATGGCTTCTATTGACAGCTTCCTATCATTCTTCAGCCATATCATCCAGGGTCCTGGTGTCATACTACTGGTATTAAAATACATAGGGATTAGATGCAAGCTACCCTAGGTACATTGGAATCTGTCTACGTGAGGCAGGCCTCCTGTAGGGGCAGGAAGATTCTCTGTCAGATTTAAATCTGGCATGAAACGCCACAATGCTATTACAACAGTAGCCTGTGCCTCTCCTTGCTTCCTTTAAGCCGTCACAGTTTGTTACTGTGGTAGGTACTACTGGCCTAATTTACTGGTAGTAGCATCTAATGTTCTGATGGCCTTATCTAGTCATAGTTTCCCCCTTCAAACATGGAGGGAAAAGGCATGGGAGAAAGCTAGAAGTGAAGATAGTGTTTATGTGATTTCTTCCTCAGAGATGTCCCTAACCCATAGCACACATTCTCTAATTAAACCTCCCAGAAAAGTGGAACCACTTATGCAAGTTCAACCAAGAGAACATGGCAGGCCATGCTGTAGGTTACAGGTTGGCAGAAAGCGTTGCATATTGATGTGCCATTTCTTTTTTCTTTGCCAGGCTGGCTGTCACACATGGTGTGGGGATAACTGGATATTTCCTTTGATTTCTCTGATGCTGCATTGAGGCGTTATTTTGATATTTGAGACATTTGCAATGTTGTTCATGATTTGTTTATCACTTGCAAGTGCATAAAGTTCCTTCTTTCTTTGAAATGAAGCCGTCACTCTAAGAAGTCAGCTGCTCCCCAGTTTGTTCCTGCTCTGCGTGTGCAGCTGACTGGTTCCATTTCATCACGTCATCATTTTGGCTTGGTTTTTCTGATGGCCATGTTTGCAAATGAACTCTATACAGAAAGCACCATTAAAAGCACTTGTAGATCTAGTCATTCTAGCCATGAGGGCACAGAACAGGATCTTAATCCTTTGAGAAATCCTCAGTCTGTCAGTACCCAACCTTTGTCTTCCTTTGATTTTGTCTTGTAAACTGATTTAGCTGTGACACATCAAATTTTACCTCCTTCCTACTTTTGCAGAGCTGGAGAATCAGGAGTCTCGGGTGTCTGAAATCCACAGCCTTGTTCATCGGCTCCCAGAGAAAAACCGCCAGATGTTACAGCTACTCATGAACCACTTGGCAAAGTAAGTTTGAAGCTGATTGTTGGCTCTTTTCTCGCCTCTAGAAAGTTCTTATCTTAGCCCTAAAACTGGTCTCAGTTCTGCTTATGTCTGCCTCTTCCACTATTGCATCAGGTATGCGAGAGGCTTAAGAAAGAAATGTGTGAAATGTTAACTGCAGTGGGGAGCAACAGCAAGTGCCAGATGGTCTTTGCAAAAGTGGGCTGGGGAAGTGCCCCATGCAACCTGGCCTCCAGGCAGAGTTTTCAGGGGGTTTTAGCTCTTGTGATGACCAAGGGCGTCTTCCATGATAAGGTCACCAAGCAGAGTTTTCAGGAGTTACATGTTCTTTGACGATCAAGGATGAACAGGAGTATGTTGTGGGTTTACAGACCTTGGATTTGAAGTAAAGAGGCCTGGATGGTAGAGTTGATTCTGTTCTTAACAAGCTACTAACCAGCCCTGGATTTACCAGTGACCACTCTATTCCTAATTTCTTCATCTGTCAAATATGGCTAGTAGGTTCTCTTTTATCTACAGTATTCTTGATTTTTAAAATTACATGTATTAAAGTCTTTGAAGAAGTATAGAGAATAAAGGACTTACCTTTGGCAAATGCCCATTTGTCCTCCGAGATAATCAAAGCATTCCATGGGGGCTTGTTTTCCTGGTAGGAATATTTTTACTCTGGGAATGTTTTTTTTTTGTGTGTGTTTGCTGTTACTTGAACCTTTTCAGAATGGCCTTACTGTCTTCCCTTGTTGTGTCAATTATTGCACATGTGTTTGTTCTAACCATCCATTGACTGATGAATGTTCTTGATAGGAGACTGGAGCATAAGAAAAGACCGAGTAACAGTTAAGCTAAATTGTTACGTCCCACATTCTACTGAACTGATGTGTTGTAAATTTGGCCCTTTTCATGCCCTTGTTCATGCCATTAAGTCATTTTTAGGGAGAGGGGTGTAAGTTGATACTTTGCTGGGGGAGATTATGATGATCTGTTTTCATATTTATACCTACCACTTGATATTACCTTTTGGAGAGAGAGTATATGTTATCAAAAAGATTTCCACAGGTCTAAGTATGAAGAAACAAGAGTGATTTGCATGTTGATGAGAAGTTACTAGGCAGTCAAAGGTTGCTCTATTATTGGTCAAATGTTTTTCTTGCCATGCAATTTGAACTGCATTGCAATATTGTGATTCATAAGAAATATATATTTTGCCATTAATATATTTCTGATATATATTTAGTCTTAACCCACAATTCCTGGCTCACAGCTTCCTGAAGCCTTGGAATTTCCTAAGTGTTGACAGTGAAAAAGGTATCTTTTGTTATGTTAATGAGTTACCTTTTGGAAAGCACTTGAGGATGGGGATTGGTTGCCAATGGAAGGAACCTTGTGAGTGGAGGGATGGGACTTTCAGTCCTGCATCCCCCACCCCACCCATGACCTATGGGGAGGAGAGCGAGGCTGGAAGTTGAATCAATCGCCATTGGCCAATGGCCTGACTGTGTAAAGAAGACTTTAAAATACCAAGAGGATGGGGTTTAGAGAGATGGCAGGTTGTGAGCATGTGGAGATGCTGGGAGAGTGGCGCCCTAGAGAGGGCATGGAAGCTCTGCACTCCTTCCCATATACCTTGCCCCATGCATCTCTCCCATCTGGCTGCCCCTGAGCTCTACCCTTTTAAAAATATCCAGTGATCTAGTATCTCCGAGTTCTGTGAGCTTTTCTAGCAAAGTAATAGAACCCAAGGAGGCTGTTAAGGGAACTTCTGATATAAGTATGTGAGTCAAAAATAGAGGTGACAACCTGGATTTGGGATTGGCATTCTGAGTTGAAGTGGGGGGAGTCGTTGGAACCTCCAATCAGTGTTTGGTCATTCAAAAGCACAAGTAAACTGGGTTTGTGTCCTGGGGTTGTGTCCAACGTCTGAATGTGTGTGTGTGTGTGTGTGTGTGTGTTGGGGTGAGGGGCAGTCTTCTGGAATCTGATGCTATCTGCATGTAAACAGTGTCAGAATTGAGTTGAATTCTTGGGTACCTTGCTGGTGGGGTCCGGGAATCCAATTTATCCATGTTTAGAAACAAAGCAAAGCAGAGAATATGCCAGTTTGCAAGGAGAATGCCCCCAAAATGTCAAAGAAAATAATGGGAACTGGGCTTTAAAAAGTAACATCAGATGCTCTGAGATGCCTGTTCCATACAACCTGGTCAGGCATTTGTTAACGGAAAAGCCCATTTAGGTCTTTGTTGCAAACCTGTGTGTGCTTGGAAGGCCTGCGCCCAAACAGAGGAAGTTCCAGGTATATACTCAGTCAACCATGTGTGGGATGCTCCTGGCTACTTTCTGGTCACTGGGTCTTCGGAAGGTCTCAGCCTGCTAGGAGCAGCTGGAGATTAGGAACTATCTGAAAGCAATGGGCTTCCTAAGCCGTGGTTGTGATGAGATCTTAATTGCACTGAGAGAGACCAAGAGTAAGGGGTGATCCAGCAGAGCTAGTACTGAATTTTCCCATGTTTAAAATGCCCTGAGGATTGTTAGGAATCTTTAAAGAAAAAAAGAACACCCTATGGTCAATTTTGAACAGTTGAGCCTGTTCATCTCCTGGTGGATGATGGTTCACTATCTCCCTCATGTTCCACTCTCTGCTCTCCTAATCCCATTCAACTCAGTCCATCTTTGTCCCTAATCCAGGGGTCCTACAGCTGGAATATGCAGGTTATAGCTGCGACCTTGACTTTTTAACCTTCTATTTAAACCAATGTTGTTGCTAGTGTTATTTTATAGCAATTCTGGAGCATTATATGTTGTCTTTGATACTTAACAGAATTTCTCCGAGGTTCTTTCTATGAGGTTATATGGCATTGCTTTGTTAACTTAACCATTAACAAATTACCTATAGGTGAGCTCTCCTGCCTATAACTTGAATCTGTCAGTGCGGACCTTAGAACACACAGACTCAGATTCTCAGCGTGCTGTGTGCTTAGCCTCTGGAGCATCCAGGTTTGAAACGTCCTGGTGTAAAGGAGCACTGCTGGGTCCAGTACAGAGTGTGTATTTAGGTCTGAAAAGATTTTTTGGCACCCAGCCGAGTTCCAAATTCCATTTAAACTCTATGTATAGCTCATTTACAGCACTGTCCTATTAAAATAAAGCAGTAAGGGAAAGTTAACTTGGGACAAGGGGTAGATTTGTCTATTTCATTCCCGTTTTCTCAGGTTCAGACTTACCCTAGGATATGCCTGAGCTATTGTTACCGTGGTCCACTTACTTAATATTCAGCTTCCTTCCTAAGTTTTGGTTTCAGGGCTGGTTCTGCTGGAAAACCCAGTGTTTACTTCTCTCATTACCTACTGTGTTTGCCCTGCTCATCAGAGGTGTTTGATTCAAGGGTAAGATGTTTCGTGTTGTATATTTTTTAAAGTGCTCTTTTGAAACATTTTCTAAAATTGGTTTCCTTTAGCTGTGAAGGGAGAGTTAAGACATTTTAGATTTAATCCCAAGTAGAAATGCATTCAGAGGGGAAACAAGTCTTAAAGGGGAAGGAATAAAACTTTATACCTCCAAGCAAATATGATTACCAGGGCACATCCAAATCACAGAGCTCTTGGGTTTGTTTCAGACCTCAGAGGGAACATTAAAATCATAGACAACTGTGCACATATTTTTGTTTCTCCAGCTCAAATCTCCTCTGATAATAGATATTTTCTATTTGGATCCTGGAAAATAGTATACAGTCCAGAGTCACATGCCTCCCACCACAATTAGACTCACTTGACCTGCTTCTTTGCATTAATGTTGCTGCGTTCCTCCCCTGGTCTGCATAATCGGACTCTGCCTGGGAGTCTGCATTGCCGGTTTATTTCCCAGGTCATTAGAATGCAGTCTCTTGAGAACCACAGGCCTGAAGAACGGGCCATATGCAGGGATTTTCTAGGAGAGAAAAATGGTATCGAGAGGAATGGATTGGGATTTAGGAGGTATTAGAACTAGAAAGAAGCAGCTCAAAACAGTGAGTTCAAAAAGATTTTATTTTCATAATTAAACTCCTAAAAACATCGTTTTGATTTCCCATGTCTTTACAGTCTGACTTTGCATTAAATTGAGTGTTTATCCAATGACTCTTAAAATCAAGCATAAAACATTTTTATTAATAAAGAAAATTGTCCCCAGCTAGTGGCAGGACCTTGTGGAGATCATTCAACCTCATTGAGCCTCAGTTTCCTGAGTTTCCTTTCAATCATGTGATTCTCTGTTTTCATCAAGTGGGGAGAGAAAACACTTTCTGGTCGTATAATTGTAGAAGGAAATAAGAGTAGATGAGTCATAGAGACTAATTTCATGGTAGTTCCCTGGTGTTTACATATGATGACTCCAAGTATGTTGTATATCCCCACACATACCATTCACAGTGGCTCATGTTAACTTTATTACAGTGTTTATGCTACGTGGGAGGATTTCAAAAGACTCTCCATACATCAGGAATGGCTATTAAAAATACTTTTTCACAGCTGGTTTTCCCAAAACACATGCTGAGAAATAAATCCTAGTCTCTTTTCTATTTTGAAGCCACTGTTCTTTTGTTGTTAGGATGTTGTTGGAGAAGCAGAGCCCCCCCCCCTTTTTTTTTGCTTGTCCAAAAAGGCTTTGGGCTCTAAGAAACAGAAAATCCACTTCAAAATAATGTAAACAATAAGGAAATCTCGTGTCTTGTTACACAAATTCAGCGCTGGGCTGGTTCGTTTCTCTGTTCATGAAGTACGCAGGTTATTTGCATGGTCCTGCTTACTTACAGCCAGCCTCATTGCGTTGGCTGGGTCTCCTCAGGGTCATAAGCTGTTGCATTGCATCCTGCCATGTTAGTGGTTGTCCAGAGACAGAAAAGACATTATTTCTTCTTTGAGTCTTCTTTTAAGACCTTTGATGATTCTCCATATGAACAACTGCAAACCTACTTTTGACACACCCTGTAGGAGACTCCATTGTCACAAGTTATCAAGGGTTGAGCAACTCAT